TGTTGACCCTGACCTACCATATAACAAACAAATTAATACAATAGAAAAATAGACATTAGTGGCACAATCAATTAATGATCGTCGATACTTGATTTTTGCGATATGTCGTGATCTTTTTACATGCTTGCATTATTTCACTCAATCATTGTATAGCAGTCGATTTTCTTATCTTAAACATGAAGGAGCGATATATCAACGATGTTCCCGCTTATCTTTAGAGAGCGGATACGCGATAAATATGTATAACAATTACACGATACAAGAGAAATTTCCTTGAAATCGCAGAGATCGACGTATCGCGCGTCGTGCCGGAAATGCAGTCCCCAACGTCATCGAAATGTCATCCAACGAATCTCGCAGCAACTTGTCGTGTAATCACCTCGCCGTACAAAAGAAGAAAGAAGAAAGGAACGATCCGCGAGGATACAGGGACGTGGCCCGCAGCTGCACGTTATGCAGTTCCGCCGTCGCACTTCAAAGCGTTGCCGTCGCCCACGCGCGAAAACTCTCGCTTTACTGCGTCCGGAAGCGACGCTTTATGTCCCCTGCGTGATCTCTCTCGCGAAGGTATTAAGGAGACCCTTTCCCGCCTTGGAGGTTTCCACTGTAACACGCGCACGTTCGATCTTCGTCCGCTACGATCGTGATGAAAATTATGATTTCGAAAGCACGTGATGTTAAAGTGTATAATTGTGCAGTGCATTATGATTGTAGATTAAAAAAAAAAAAACGCTCTTTCCTTTCTAGTAACATTATGATATCTTCAATCAGTATCAGTTTTATCATATCAATTTTATTTTATTTAAAGATATGTCATTATGAAGTTTTATATATTAGTGATTCTTTACCCAAGGCATTAATTCATATATCCAGTCAGAAGTAATAATGGAATCGAGATCGAATGTCGATTCGATTCCATTATTATTTCTGGGTATATGAATTAATGCCTCTATAAATCAATATTTAGAAAAGAGCTCTTTCTATTAACATCTCGAAAAATTATAGCTTTGAGATATATCGTATGTATTAAAGAAATCTAAATATTAGTGAATATGTAAAAAATCCTTAAATATTTTTCCTGATAAGAATACTTATTGGATAATCTAACATTAAAGACTGTATAATATGTTTGTTATCTGAGTTTGCTTTGTCAATTTTGCCTTAATTGTATCTGCAGCGAGTTATATTTTTCAAATTATGT